AATAGAATAGAATAGAATAGAATAGAATAGAATAGAATAGAATAGAACACATCACATATTGGAATGTAGAGTAGGATAGGATAGGATAGGATAGAAATAGGAATAGGAATAGGGAATAGAATAGAATAGAATAGAATACGTATTGGAATGTAGAATAATAGAATTAGAATAGAATAGGAATAGAATTAGAATAGAATAGGAATAGAATAGAACAGAACAGAACACATCACATATTGGAATGTAGAGTAGAATAGGATAGGATAGGATAGGATAGGATAGGATAGAAATAGGGAATAGAATAGAACAGAATACATATTGGAAAGTAGAATAGAATAGAATAGAACACATCACATATTGGAATGTAGAATAGAATAGAAATAGAAATAGAATAGAATAATAGAGTTATATAATGGATATAACTATGATGTACAAATGCCACATTTTTTTTAAGAGACTATACTGTATGACTATGAGAATAATGGTTATGATTATGGTGTATAATACTACAGATATTTAAAAAGGATTTGATACAGCCAGTATTCTGTTGTTGCAAAACTGGAAATGGGAGGTAGAATAAAGGAAAACATGCAATAAAAATATTTATTAAAAAAGAAAAGAAAAGAAAAAGCCAGTTTGGATTATCGCTTCTCTTCAGAAATTTCTCAAATTGTACCCGTTGGAAAATGTCACCTTGGCTCCTGACCCAGCAGTTCCTAAAAAACTTCCTTCCGTCGCCTACAATCCCTGGACAGACCTAAGGCGGAGAGAGGACGTGGCTGCCTTCAATCTCAGTTTCCCTTATGGGCCCATTCCAGAACACTTCCAGGTAGAGTTTCCCTTACGGGCCCCTTCGGTTGCGTTTCCATGAGATGATGGTTTGGCTGTGGTCTGAAAGACGCCGGTGGGATAAGGGAGTTGGATGTCCAGTCTCCCATTTTCCTCCTTCTGGTAGTCCTCGACTTACAACAGTTTCCTTCAGCAACTGTTTGAACGCCACTGTTCTCTGCCCGGTTGCTGGGTGGGTGTGGCCATGGTGGGTGTGGAGTTCACTCAACAACGGCAGCAAAGACAAGTTGTAAAACTCACTTCACGCAGTCTTGCTTTGCCCCAGTCGCTTAGCTGTGGTCATAAGACAAGGACTATCTGTATTAATGATGCACAGACGGGTGCATTACAAACCAATTACATCCTGAAAGACCTTCTAAGGCCTCTCAGGGGGCAGTTTTTATTGATGACCTATCAGCCACCACTCATTTTTTGGTCCCCTATTTTGCAAACTTGTTTTGTAGCGGAAGATTCGCCAGAGTTATTTTGCCTCCGTCTCCTACGTCGATACCCTGGTGGGAAAGTTGTTGAATGCCCTGGATGAGGCAGAGCTATCTCACAACACCATGGTGGTTTTCACCGCGGACCACGGTAAGACCTCCATGCAGCTTGGACGGGGGAAGGGAAGTCCAAATAAGGAAAGAGGGAGTCTGGCTAAGGATTTGCCTGCGATTGCTCACGCATACGATGGAGACCGTGTCTTTTGTCCCTGCATTCAGTCTACAAATATCATTTCAAATAGTTGTTGAGGCTGCCGAAGTGGTGGCCATAGCATCAGGCACACCGTTCGCCTGTTCTGTACCTATCAGGTGCGAACAAACAAAACACGTGTAGAGTATGAAATAGCAACTTTATTGCATAACGCCTATTTCACAGGAATCTTCCCAGGACTAGATAAGGTTAAACGTCATTCAAGAGGGGTGGAACTTGCGGAGTGGTGCGGTGGCCTCGAGGTGGAATTCTCGCCTCACAATCGGGAGGCTGGGAGTTTGATCTTAAGTAGAGGCAGATATTTCTCTGGGCATTATGGAAATATATCTACTGAACAAAACTCATTGGTGTCAGGAAGGGCATCCGGCCATTTAGCACTCTTATGCTTACGTAATGATTCCAGGCTAATTCCCTGCTTGACTCGTCTCTGCAACTCAGCCATTCTCTTTCCAAGATCACCTCCTACCTCGTTCTAAGGTTGGCTGAAGAGCTTTGGAGATTTTAAAAGCCTGGTTGTTCTTTGATGTCGATCCTAATTAATGTTTTATATCCAACTCTTGATTCTTCGTTTTTTTTCCTGGATGGATCCACAGGATCTCTCTCAGTGCTGTCTCCCCTTCATGGTTCTTGATTTCATTTAGGCTGGTCATTGGGTGAGCATGGCGAGTGGGCGAAATACAGCAACTTTGACGTAGCCACCCGAGTGCCACTGATGTTCTATGTGCCAGGAGTGACAACTCCAATCTCTTATCCAGGACAGAAACTTTTCCCATTCATTGACCCCTTTGCTCAAGATTCCTGCTCTGGGCTTCCAGGTAAAAAAATCCAGCATTAACAGTACAAAAATTAAACGTTCGATGTCAGGACTTCGACAATCCCCCCCCCCTTCAAATCATGAGTCTCTAGCCCAGTGGTGGCTAACCTTTTTCGGCTCCTGTGCCAAAAATTGCATGCCCCCAACCCCTTCCCTGCACTGCGCCTCACAGCTGATTTTTGGGGCTGGTTTGAGGCCTTTTTCGGCCTCCCAGAGGCTTGGAAAAAGCCTCTGCAAGGCTTTTCAGGATGAATTACAGGAAGTGATGAAACGGGCCAATAATTCGTCCTGAAAAGCCTTGCAGAGGCTTTTCCCAAGTCTCTGGGAGGCCGAAAAATGCCTCAAATCAGCTGGGAAAAAAATCAGCTTTGAGGCACGCGCGTGTGCAGTGGCTCGCGTGCCAGGACAAATGGCTCTGCGTGCCAGTTATGGCACGCGTGCCATAGGTTCGCCATCACGGCTCTAGCCACATCTCTCAGAGTTTAAAAGAATAATTTATTAGGAGTGAACATGCTGGCACTACCTGGGCACAGCCGACTCTGAGACGCATCATTCATTTCCCCCTTGACCCTGGTCTCCCCTCACCCCCTGGATGTATATTCTCCAATGGGACACATCCATAGCCAAGAGTCATCAATCAGGCTCTCCAGTAATCATCTTGCGCACCAAAAGATTCAGCCGCCTAGCAATTATCTACGAAAATATTTTAGGAATACTTTACCTTCCCCCAATCCCTTTCTGCTGACAGAGAGAGCTAAGAAGGCTCCTCCTCAGTGATTCTCTCAGAGTGTATCTTTGGCCGTGCGAATAGTTTCTTTAAGTTTTCTTTTAAGTTTCTGTCTATGGGTGAAGAACAACCAAGGACAGAAGCGAGGATTCAAAAATCCCAGCAACCGGTTCGCTGCCGAGTTGCTGGGTGGGTGTGGCCATGGTGGGCGTGGACTACTGGAACTTTTTTGGGGGTGTGGGGGGGCGTATTTTGCCTTCCCAAGAGTCCAGAAGTTCCCTCGGGCCTTTGAGAGGGCAAAAACAGTCTCCGAAAGCCAGAAACTGGCCCATTTCCAGATTTCCGGAAGGCCCATTTTTTCCCCCCTCCCAGAGCCTCTGCGTGGACCCTGCACTTACCTGCATCAAAAATGGTCCACCTGGAGACTCCTGGGCGGGGATGGGCAGGGCCAGCCGGTCGGTTCAAATACCGGTTTGGCGAACGGATGCTAATTTAACCTCCGGTTCACTCGAACCAGTCCAAACCGGTAGAATTCCACCCCTGGATAGAAAGAAGTAACTCCAGGTATCGTTCTTGGATCTGACACCGCCTACTCTAATTTTTCCTCCTCTCCCACTCCAGGAAAACCCAAAGAAATAGTTGAGTTGGTGTCTCTCTTCCCGACGCTTGCAGAACTGGTTGGACTGGCCGTTCCACCTGCGTGTCCTCAGCCCTCCTTCCACGTGCCTCTTTGCAGTGAAGGGAAGAGCTTGGCGCAGTACTTCCCATCCTCCAGCGGGGAGAAGAAGAACCATGGCTCCAAACGAAAAGAAACCCCGGTTGCCTTCAGCCAGTACCCGCGTCCGGGAGACATCCCTGCGCCGAATTCTGATTTGCCGTTACTTCAAGATATACGAGTCATGGGCTATTCCATCCGTACGGATGATTGCAGGTGTACTGTCTGGTTTGGGTTTAATCCCAACAACTTCACGGTCGACGTGAAAGATATCCATGGGGGAGAACTGTATTTTGAGAAAAGTGACCCCAATGAAGATCATAACCGGTACAACGAATTCCTGCGTGGATTCCCGCTTCCGAAGCGTTGTCCTCTAGTCGATTGTTTGAAATTGGGGGTCAATTCAGTGAACCTCTGCTAAGGCATTGACCTCCCTGTGGCTCATGTGTATGTCCTGCTTTGTGTTATATACACAAAGACGCCTCCAAGGGTGACCATTTTTGTATCAAAAGGTTTTAAATGCTGATATAAGAATACATTTGAATATGTATATATATATGTTCATGAAAAGAAATCTCCTGTCGTGTCTGTTGAATAGTTCTGGAGAAAATGATGATGATATTAGAAAAGAGATAGTTTAGTTTAGTTTATTGTCATTGCACCTCGTATAATGAAATTAAATAGCATCTTCAGTATACATTATGACTGAAAATAAACATAACGCACCTCCTTCACATTCTATGCACTGAATTGAAGACCCCTGATATTTCATTAATATTGCACTATACAGCAGAATTCAATAGACTTTTACTGCCCTGGGATAGAAGCTATTTTTCAGCCTATTTGTCCTTGTTTTATTATCCTGTACCATCTGCCAGATGATAATAGTTTAAAAAAAGGGCGTGTGTGCCCAGGATGAGATGGATCTTTGAGAATGTTTTGAACTTTCTTAAGGTAGAAAACAAATCAAAATTAAGTAGTTGAGTGATCTGAGTGAGATTCTGGGCCTGTTCTTTTGGAGATCAAGAAACTGGGAATTTGAGCTGGGAATTCTGGCAGGTACCCCCAAATACCTGGAGGGACCAGAATGGGAAGTCTAAATTACATCCCCAGGAAGCTAGGGATTCCTTCTTTTTAGGTTTTTGTCAGGTGCAAAGAATAGGACCACATGGGATTAACTCCAGTTAAGCTGAGGATTGATTGCTCATGTTTATACACAGGAATGTAGTCAACAAATGGTCATCAGTAAATTGGTGCTGGATAAAATTCAATGGAATTCAAGGCAGAGGTGATATTCAGCAGGTTTTGTCCAGTTCTGGAGAACCAGTAGTGGAAATTTTGAGTAATTCAGAGAAGTGGCAAATCCCACCTTTCTCTGGCCCCACCCACATCTATTCTCCTCCTCCCATTGAGTCCCAGCTGATCGGCTGGGTCTTCTTTGGTTGCCCTGTACAGGAGAATGGAGCTGGAAAGCAGGTTAGTGGGGTGGGGAGGGAAGGGGGATTTTGCAGTAACCTTCCCCCTGGAGAGGAGAGGGAATGGAGATTTTACTGTATCCTTCCCCTGCCACGCCCACCAAGCCACGCCCACCAAGCTGTGTCATGCCCACCAAGCCACGCCCACAGAACTGGTAGTATCCTATCACTGATTCAAAGGGTGTTGGACTTGGAAAATTTGTGGACATGTAACGATTCTAGGCTAGGTCCTCTCTTGACTCCACTGCCAAGGTCTCCCTTTTCTCCTACTGTTTTGGAGAAACATCTGACTCATCAAGAGGAACAGAAGGTCCACAGTCTTATTCCAGATCTATTAAGGTTGTTCTGATCTCCTTCTTTCCACATGGTTTTGACTAGCTAATTTTCCTGGAAGCTGTTTTCTAGTTTCCCGGAGTTTCTCTGTTTCACCCAAACTGTGCACCGTTTGTACCCTAGAATATATTTTGGAAAGAATGAGCCTCTCCACCAAAGGGCAGCAGCTGTGGTTGACAAATCTTTCCACGATACGGTTCGTCAACAGTAGATCCCCCCAAACAAATCTATTGAAGATGGTTTTGTGGTTGCCTGAAAGAACTAAAACAGAAAAGAGCTTACAGGCCATTGTAGGGCTTAATGCCCTCATTTATTTAACTGTAAGAAAGAAGCGAGAACAATAAAACAAAAGATTTATTTTGTGATTTTTTTTTTAAGGGCTGGTTTTGTAATGTCAGCCAAAATAGCCAGAGAGGGACTTCAAAGTTCAGCTGGTGACAGAAGGGTCTATTTGCTTATATATTTTTAACTCTAGTTTGTAAAATTATTTCTCTGTTGAGTGGGAAACTCAGTTGGCTTTTGTTCGGAGGAGAAAATCCTATTTATTTTATTGGTATAGCTGCCCTTTCCAACAGCTGATGGGCAGCATGCGTTATCAGCAAGATTATACAGGTGAGAGGCAGGATTCTCGAAACTTCATTTACTTTTTTCTAATAAGCCTGGCAAGGGAGCAAGCATCCTCCCAAGGACTCAAAATCCTAGAAAAATAAAAATGCCGACGGCTTAAAGTGATGGAGGGAAGGACGGGGGTAAAGAGAAAATGCAAAGCTATTCTCATTGAATAGATGGAGATGCCACTCTTGACCTCTTCCATGGCATCAGTTGGAGCAGAAGGCATTTTGCCCACATCAACAAAATTTGCTCCCTGTCTAGCAAGTCAAGAGTAGTCGGACCTGGAGATTCCCGCAGTTAAACAGGAGGCAAAAGAGCCTGGT